TTTTGTTTTGTTTTGTTTTTTCTTTGAGTGCATCTAATTTCCATCTGCTTTTGCCAGTTCAGAGCTTTATCCCTATCCCTTTTATGTTTTTGTTGTCACAAATCCCTGTTTATGCTGTAATTATTTTCGTGAACTTACTCATAGTGCTGTGACCTCAGACTCTTTATTTCAGGTAGAATAACTTCCTCGAGTATTTCTTGCGATTGAGGCTTCTGGTGATAAATTCCCTTAGCTTCTGTGTGTCTGGGAAAGTCTTTATTTCTCCTTTATATTTAATGGATTACTTTGCTGGCCCTGGCCGGTTTGGCTCAGTGGTTAGAGAGTTGGCCCACAGACCGGGGAGTCGCAAGTTCATCTTTGGTCAAGGGCACATATCTCAACTGTGATTCGGTCCCCAGCCCTGGTTGGGGTTCTATGGGAGGCAACCAATCAATGTGTCTTTCTCACATCAATGTGTCTCTCAGTCTATCTGAAAAATAAATAAATAAAATTTTATTTTTAAAGGATAACTTTGCTGGATATATTATCCTTGGATGGTAATTTCTCTCTTTCAGTCATTTGAATATTTGGTTCTGCTCTCTTCTGGCCTGTTGAGTTTCTGCTGAGAAGTCTGATGATAATCTGGTGGATTTTCCTTTGTAGGTCACTTCCTTCTTTTCCCTGGTTGCTTTTAGAATTTTTTCTTTGTTTACATTGTATCTTGGAGATGGCCTCTTTGTTTTCTTTTTAATTTTTAAAAATTTTTCATTAATTTATTTTTGTTACAGATGTTTCTCCTTTTTTTCCCCATTGACACTCTCCTCCCCATCCCCCCCACCCCGTACCCGGTTTTGTTGTCCATCTCCATCGGTTATGCGTACATGCATATAAGTTCTCTGGTTTATCTCTTCTCTCCCCCCACCCCCTCTTCTGAGGATTGTCAGTCTGTACCCTACTTCCACGTCTCTGGGTCTACTCTATTCCTCAGACTGTTATGTTCATTATATTCCACAAATAAGTGAGATCATGACATATTTATCTTTCTCTGCTTGGCTTGTTTCGCTTAGGATAATACTTTCCAGGTCCCTCCATGTCATCTCAAAGGATAAGAGATCTTTCTTTCTTACAGCTGCATAGTACTCCATTGTGTATATGTACCACAACGTTTTTATCCATTCGTCTACTGATGGACACTTGGGCTGTTTCCAGATCTTAGCTATTGTAAATAGTGCTGCTATGAACATGGGGGTACATATATTCTTTCAGGCTTCTTAGGGTATATTCCTAGAAGTGGGATCACTGGATCAAATGGCAATTCAGTTTTTAATTTTTTTTTTTTATCCTCACCCGAGGACATTTTTCTATTTTCTGTTCAGATAGAGTGGGAGGGAGAGAGAGGAAGAGAGGGAGAGAGAGAAACATCGACGTGAAAGGGACACATCGAGTGGCTGCCATCCACACGACCAACCAGGGCCGGGGACAGACTGCAACCGAGGTACATGCCCTTAGCGGGAACCGAACCCGGGTCTCTCCAGACCGCAGGCCGATGCTCTAACCGCTGAGCCAAACCGGCCAGGGCCAGTTTTTAATTTTTTGAGGTAACACCATAGTGTTTTCCATAGTGGCTGCACCAATCTGCATTCCCACCAGCAGTGTACTAGAGTCCCCCTTTCTCCACACTCTCACCAACACTTGTTTGAGTTTTTATTTATTTATTTTTTGCATTTATCTTCAGACAGAGAGAGGGAGAGAGGAAGGAAAAGAGAGAGAAACATCGACGTGAGAGAGAGACATTGAGTGGTTGCCACCCACACAATCCCAACGGGGGCCAGGGACCAACTGCAACTGAGGTACGTTTCTTAGCGGGAACCGAACCCAGGTCTCTCTGGACTGCGGGCCAATGCTCTAACCGCTGAGCCAAACCGACCAGGACGTGTTCTTTATTTTTTTAATGCTCAGGTTCCTCTCTCTTTCCCCATGTGTCACTTCTAAATTCCTATCTTCAATGTCACTAATTCTTTTTCTCCATCTGGTGGGCTCTGTTTCCTGTACTTAGTAGTTCACTCCTAATCTCCTTATTTGAATGCTTCATTTTCAGGATTTCTGATTGGTTCTTTTTTTAAATGTTTCAGTCTCTTTAGTAAAGGACTCATTTTGTTCATTAATTTGTTTTCTGAGTGCATTAAATTGCCTGTCTTTGTTTTCTCACATCTTGTTGAGTATTTTCAGAACTGCAATCTTGAATTTTGTCATTTATGTAATATATTTCAATGTGTTCCAGTTTGCTTTCTGGAGAATTTTTAATATTTTTTCTGAGCCACCTCACTATCGTAGTTATTCATGGTATTTGACGGTCTCCTCTGTCTAGGCATCTATGGCCTTTCTGTAGCAGCTTTCTCTGCAGTGGTGTATTTTCCAATAGGTAGTGCTGAGTCACAAGATTTTTACCTTTGTGACCTCCTTTAGCTGACTTCTGCCACTGCTGTTAGTACAGTCATGCTGCTTGCTGCTTGTGGGGGAGGAGTTGTTTTGCCCTCACTGTAATGGTGACTTAAGACCTCTGTGGGTTCCCTCCATCATGTGCCCCACCCACAGAGGGAATCAGTCACAGAGGGAATCATTGATTCTATTGCAATAGCTCTTGGTGCACAGATAATGTATTCCTCAACCTGACACCAAGGGAGGTGGGAGTCAAGTTTTGGGAGTCCAAGAGGTGTAAGGTCTCTGGGGCACTTTGTCTGAAACACCAGCTGCCAGACAGAACCCCTGCGCTATGTCCTTGCCCCAGTCTCAGCTGGCTTAGTCACTGTTCGCACCTTTTGTCCTGCTGGAGTACCCACGAAGACTCTGTTCCTCCTGGCTGAAGGCAGCGCCTGCTGCTGCCGGCTTCCTCCTGTCTCTAGACCCAGCCCTGAGCTCCTGGCTGCAGTGCTCTGTCTGTGACCATCTGAGCTTTCCTTCTTTCTTTCCTCCCTATTTGTTCCCCTTTGCTCACCTATAGATGCTTCAATGCTCTGGTCTCTCAGGGAATTCTATTTTGAGTTATAAGTTGATCACCTTGTTAAAGTTTCAGGGGGGAGGCCAAGGGGATAGCTCATGCATTCCTCTGATGTCACTCTGAACTCCCTTACTTCTGAAGTGTCATTTCTCTCTTTTTTTAAACAAACACATATCTCAAGATTTATGCTCTAATCTGACTGTTACCTCTCACCAATTTCTCTTGTATTAGAATTTCTATCATGTTTAAAAGCTAATACCATAAAAATTAATGCATAGAGTCTCTCCCGCTAGAATGAAAGCTTTTGAGCGCAACTACCTGTTAGGTAAAATTTCCCAGGGCCTAGTGACTGGAGAAAAAGAGCCTGACAATTCGAGTATTACAATTCTAGTTTTTTAAGGGAATTTATATACGAGGTGTGTCATGGCAGGCACCATAGGGTTATTTAGGACAGGACAGGATCAATAAGTACTGGGGTGTGACCTGCTCCAGAAAAGGGGAAATGCCTTACATACTTGACCCTGGGAGGGCAAGGGCCTGTTCAGGAAACAGCATGTGTGGGACCCAAAGGAGAGGCCAGACAATCTGTAAGGGGGTTTATGGGAAGCAGTCTTTGTTCTGGGCTGGATCTAGCACAAGGGTCCAACAGGCAGCTATGTCATGGAACAGTCTCTCCTTCACAGGATAAGACCTTGTCTGCCTCATTTAGCAATCTATTCCAACTTTTAGAAAAGCATCTGTGCCTGGCTTATGTGGCTCAGTGGTTGAGCATCGACCCATGCATCAAGAGGTTGCCAGTTCAATTTCCGATCAGGGCACATGCCCAGGTTGTGGGCCAAATCCCCAGTGGGGGGGTGGCCAGTTAATATTCTCTCTCATTGATGTTTCTGTCTCTCTCTCCCTTCCTCTCTCTCTAAGATCAATAAAGAAAAAAAAATTTAAAAAAAGAGAAAAGCATCTGATGCATAGTAATTGCTTAATATTTATTGAATGTGAATGAATGTCCATGAGTTAAGGGATTGATCATATGTCATATTTATAAAATATAATTCCATTTAGCCCCCTAAAAAGAAAAGAAGCAAATGAAGCTGTGTATGCACTGACATAGAAAGATGTGTAATTTTAGCTAATGAGAGAAAATGACATAAAATAATACAAAACACCTTATTTTTCAAAAATTACCTATGTTATTCTATGTTAACAGTGGGGGGAAAATATGTATTATTAACACTAGATACCTATGATATTGGTTGGGAAATGACTATGTTAAACACAGGGGTGGGCAAAAGTAGGTTTATAGTTTTGAGTACCTGAAAGTTAATCTTGTATTATTTTTCATATGGAACAATTGTAAACCTACTTTTTTGCCCACCCTGTATTTTTTTATTTGAATGTTTTAAACCAGCATATATGTACTTTTTTTTTTTTTTTTTTTTTTAATGAAGATAGGTTTTAAGGAGAAACTCATATAAATACTTTGTTTTATTATTTGGGTCCTTATTAAATAGAATGGTATTGAATAAAATTCAAGAAACTTCTCTTTAAAAAAAATTGCCCTGGCCAAGTTTGGCTCCATGGTTGGAGCGTTGGCCTGTGGACCAGAGATTCCCGGGTTCGGGTTCCGCTAGTGGCATGTACCTCCCCCCCCCCCCAAAAAAAATTTTGTTTTCATTATAAAAGCATATGTTCTTATTTAAAAAAGAACATAAAGAATATAGAGAATTACATGGAGCAAAAATGTTCAAGTATTCTATTCTACCTTCTTTTCCTTGCCTTGCCATTCACTCAGAGCCATTATATCATTCATCCTTTTGTACATTTTGTATGCATGTGCAAACATAAAATTTATTCTCATATTTGCTTTTCTGTTACAATGAAATATAATTTAAGAAAGGGATGTCTTTGTCCCAATAAAATATTAACATAGTACGTTTAGTTTTGCGACTCAAGCTTTTGTATATTTCTGTTCCTGTGTTTTGTATATTTTATTTACATGGTTTTGGCCTATTCCTGTATATTTCAGGTTTGCGGATCAATGGAGAACTAATTACCGCGTACCCCCAAGTGGTGGTAGTGAGAGTACCAACCCCTTGGGTGCAAAGTGATAGTGATATCACTGTTTTGCGTCACCTAGAGAAGATGGGATGCCGGTTGATGAACCGACCTCAAGCCATCCTGAACTGTGTTAATAAGTTCTGGACCTTTCAAGAGTTGGCTGGCCATGGTGTTCCTTTGCCAGATACTTTCTCTTATGGTTAGTTCACTAATAAGAATTTGCAGCCTAAATTTTAGAGAACTGATAGTTTTTGAAAGCCATACTAAACTAATAGGATTATGTGATATAAGGAAATTTATGAACATGAAAGAACTTATAGAAGTGACTTTTAGTTTTAACAAATTGGGCTTTGAATTATGAATCATGTCTTAAGACTTAGTTCCATGATATGGGTAAAACAAACTCAGTAAACATTTCCTGTAAAGAGCTAAATAGTAAATATTTTGGGCTTTCCAGGCTATACGTTTGCTCTTATAACCCTCAGAAATGCTCTTGGGTGAAAGCTGCAATAGAAGGTGCTTAAACAGATGAGTGTAGCTGTATTCTAATAAAAAGACCAATCTGCTGTGTATCAATACTTTCATAAAGTACAATGAAAATAATCACAGCAATGCAAATTGATATAAAAGCTTCTAGTTAATGAGGCTTTAAAAAGAAACTCCACCCTGGCCGATTTGGGTTAGTGGTTAGAGCATTGAACAGCAGACCGAAGGGTCTCAGGTTCGATTCCCTGTTAAGCATGTACCTGGGTTGCAGGTTAGATTCCTGGCCCTGGTCAGGGTTGTGCAGGAGGCAACCAATTGATGTGTCTCTCTCTTTTTTTTTTATCCTCACCCGAGGATATTCTTCCATTTTTTGTACAGATAGAGTGGGAGGGAGAGAGAGACAGAAACATCAATGTGAAGGGACACATCGAGTGGCTGCCACCCGCACGACCAACCAGGGCTGGGGACAAACTGCAACTGAAGTACATGCCCTTAGCGGGAACCGAACCCGGGTCTCTCCAGACCGCAGGCCGACACTCTAACCGCTGAGCCAAACCGGCCAGGGCTGATGTGTCTCTCTTAACATTGATGTTTCTCCCTCCATCCCTCCCTTCCATTCTATCTAAAAATCAAAGGAAAAATATCTTCGGGGGAGGATTAACAACAACAACAACATAAATAAATAAATCCATCCCTATTATTTTCTTATTATTTTAAAGAAGGGAACTCTTCATATCTGTATGGTATTACTTGTGCTCTGATGGTGAAGGCTTCAAATTTGGGGACTGATCGTCTTAATTTCTCTAAGTTGCTAATTTATAATATTGCAGTTAGTGAACTTTTTGCTGGTTTAATTTTTCTTTATCATCATGTTATTTTTTTTACAACTACAATTCATATTTTTGCTCTAATCTTACTGCTACATTATTTGTTCCTAGGCAATAAAAACAGGAGCAAGTCTTAGTACATTGGTACTGAGTAGTTCAGTGTAGAAAGAACTCTGATTAGTAATAGAGATAAGAAAAATTAATTTGTGTGTTTGAGACAGAGTGTGTGTGTACATATGCATAAAGCATCTTCAGCCTTGGATAAGTCTTCTCAACTAACTCATTCTTCTGTTTCTTAATCGAAACAGGGAATTGAATATATTAAAGTAGGTCTTGAGTCTTCTATTTTTTGTGTGGTGCAAAAATAAGAGATGAAAATATGAAAAATGGTATAGAATTAGGAAACACCATTTTAGCTGAAGTGCACTTAATTTTTTTTTTAGGTTGGATATTAGAATATTTATAGTTTAAGATAGCTTTTATCCATTTTAAAAGGTGTGGGTGTTTAAAACTGATATTAACTACTTTAAACTTTTATTTATTACTTTCTTCAAGAATAAACAAAATTTAGTCATGAGGTTGTTACTTTCTACTTCCCTTGTGTTGCTGACATAAGTGTAGATAAAATTTATTACAAACCACCCCTTGATGTTGTTTTTAATTTTTTTTTTTTCTCAAATTAGGTGGTCATGAAAATTTTTCTAAAATGATTGATGAAGCAGAAGTACTGGAGTTCCCGATGGTAGTGAAGAATACCCGAGGTCATAGAGGTGTGTATGAGTTGTTGCTATTAGGTACATAATTTTGAAATTTACTTTTGAGGATTAATAAGGGTGATTATACAGTCCAGATTTTTTTCTCAATTAGACCAAGCAGTTATTTTCTTTGTATTTGCTCATGGTTATTGACTAGACGGTAGTCTTGTTAATTGAAATTTATAGCTTTTGAAGCAGGGTTTCTGAAGGAAAATTGGGGTAAATTGTTAGGTGCATGGTACCTCAAACTGAAGGCTACTGTGAGTTGTTCAGTTTGGCTAGAAGCTGTTTCTGTCCATTTAGTGATTATCCTAGAAGTTTTAAGACACAATAATGTAGACTGAGTCCCAAGTTACCATCTTTATCTTCCTCTTGAACAATGCAAGGACCTTATATCACTGACTGCAGTCATTCTCCCTCCCAATTTATATAGTTCAAAGACTTAAATGTATAAGGCAAACATATACAGCTTTAGAACACAGTGTATAAAAGTATCTTAATGACTTCAGATTAAGGGAAGATTTATTTAGGCATAAAATAATTCATAAATCCAAGTACTTCACAAGGGATAGCTGGAGCAGGGGTCAGCTGGAACTGTTGACTGCATCGTTTGACTACTCCAGTATTGCACCCAAGAAGTCTCAGGGCTCCTACAGTGACCAAAGAACTGGCATGAGCTTTTGTGACCTAGCCTCAAAAATCATATGGAATTGCTTCTGCTGTATTCTGTTGGTTGTAGCAATCACATGCCCTCCTGAATTCAAAGGGATGAAGCATAGATTCTCCCTCTTCTTGATTGGAAGAATGTCAAACGATTTATAACTATGTTTTAAAAACAGCCACTTTATTGGCATAAAAATGTATAAATAGAGCAATGGAACAGACTACAGAATTCGAAATAAAAACGTATGTAGTGACATACTGCTATTTTACTATATGGGGTGAACAAAAGTAGGTTTATAGTTGTGAGTACATGAAACAGAGTTAATAAAGCTATTGTAATAATCATAACCTGCGTGTCTTTTTCCAGATGAACAAGTGTAAACCTACTTTTGCACACCTCTGATACAAATATATTTTAATATACAAATTAATGATATGTTTTATTTTAACTTAGAGGGAAACGTTTTGCTAATAAGTGAGTCTGACATTATTGGCTAACCTGGAGGAATACAAATTTTAGATCTCTACCTCGCAACATATACTGAAATAAATTGTAGATTATTTTGAGAGTTTAGAAATTGAGAGACTCTTAAAGGCGATTAACTTTTTTATGTACAATTTTGCATTGTCTTACTATAACTACATTTCTTTGGTTTAAAAGTAATTGGTTCTGAACAAACAGATCGGGACACAAGAAGATGGAGGCGCAATAGATATCAACCTACCCACAGATTGATGGCTTACACTTTTTTCTTTTTCTTTTTCTTTTTTCAAACACAGGTAAAGCTGTTTTCTTGGCTCGAGATAAGCACCACTTGGCTGATCTAAGCCATCTTATTCGTCATGAAGCTCCATACCTGTTCCAGAAGTATGTTAAAGAGTCTCATGGACGAGATGTACGTGTCATTGTTGTGGGAGGCCGTGTGGTTGGCACCATGTTGCGTTGTTCAACAGATGGGAGGATGCAAAGCAACTGCTCACTAGGTAAAAATGATGCAGGTGTCTTTCTAGTATATAAAATAATACTACAGCTTGTTCAGTGAGTATTTGTATATAACTATAGATTTTTACTTAATAAGTTGAAAAACATGTCTTTCACATATAAATATTAGTAGACTTACCATGGATATAATAAATGTACTTTTGAGGTTTTTTTCTTCAGTAATTAAATTGAATTCCTCTGAATCACAAATTTACTTTCATCCATGCTCAATTCGTAATTCAATTCACACATGTATGAAATGTCTGATTAGAGTGAAAGATGCCATCTTTGTTGATATACTTATTTTGTGTATGATTAGAGTTCATTTAAGGTAGATGTGTCCTAACTCTTATTTTACCCGTTGGTCCAAACAAGATTGCTGATTTTGATTTATCTAAATGTGTATTTTCTGAGATCTCTTATTGTTGAAATGCCACAGAGCCTTAGCCTGGGTTTTGTCTTCTCTGTTTATTTCACTTTCTTAGTAACCTTATGAAGCTCATGGCTTTAAATACTATCTATATGTTAATGTTTTCTAATTTGTATCTCCAGTTTAGGCTTTCTCCTTGAATTCCAGGTACACACAAATAAGTGCCTACTTGATTTCTTCACGTTGATTTCTAATAGACATTTATTTTAATTTTAACATGTCCAAAACTGAGCTGCTGATCTAACTCCCCCTCTTAATGTGTTCTGTACCCACAGTTTTCTCCTTATCATTTCATGGCAATTCTACCTTTCTAGACCAATATCCTTAGAGTCACCTTGATCCTTCTCTACTCCCTTTTTCTTTTTTCCAAATGAATAATAACTGGACGTTCTAGCACTCTTTATTTAATAGTTTGTTTATTACTGGTTTGTAATCCCATCTTTTTTTTTTTTAACTATGTTTCTGATTTTATTGTGAAGCCATCTTTTTTTGCATTGAATTTACATATATGTACTAGTTTGTTCAAGGGCCCTCTCTTCTGTTGCTCTTCTTTCCATGTATGAATATCAGTCTTAATTCCTTTGGCATTATGCCTAGGTATCTGATAGAGCAAGAGCCCCTGTATCTTGTTCTTCAGAATTGAGTGCCCTCATTACTCTAGCTCCAAAAAGGCCTTCTTTTGATGAATATTCTCCCATATTCAGTATTAACTGTTGTAGCAGTATTTTGTTTATAACAGAGAGCAAAACAGACAAAAATCTCTGCTCTCATGGGATTTACATTCCCTTGTTTTGCTGAAATCATGTAATAGTTTTAGTCCAAGTGTCTATATTAGAAATTTTCTTATGTTTCAAAAATCCTTATATGGCACTTACATGATCTGTTCCTAGGCAGTCTTTTATAAAAAATCTATTTAGAGTTATATTGCAAGAATCATTACTCACCATTTTTTATTACCTATCTTTATCTTCTCATATCTTGAGGTCTCTCTTAGTCATTTGCTGTTATGTTAGTATTTTTTCTTGATTATTTTCCCTGGATGGAGGTGTGTAAGTGATGCTCTCTCATATATCTTTCTTTCTGAAAGGAGCATAATGTATTGGCTGAGATTGGATTCTTACATTGTAAGAGTAAAGCTGCAATTCTACTGCCTTATGGGTTACATTGTTACAGTTAAATGTCCTAGTCTTTTCTTTTTTTAATAAATTATTTATTTTTTGTACGTCTTGGGTTTTTTTTTTCTTTTTTTTATCTTCACCCGAGGACATTTTTCCATTTTTTGTTCAGATAGAGTGGGAGGAAGAGAGAGGGAGAGAGAGAGAGAGAGAGAGAGAGAGAGAGAGAGAAACATTGACGTGAAAGGGACACATCGAGTGGCTGCCACCCACATGACGAATGACGAGCTAGGGCCGGGGACACTGCAACGGAGGTACATACCCTTAGCGGGAACTGAACCCGGGTCTCCCTGGACCGCAGGCTGACGCTCTAACCGCTGAGCCAAACCGGCCAGGGCTGTACATCTTGTCTTTTGATATTTTAGCTCAGATTTTTTCAGGATTTTTAAATTATTATTATTTTTGAGATCTCATCTTTTTTTTATTAATTTTTGTTACAGATGTTTCTCCTTTTACCCCCATTGACACCCTCCTCTCAATCCCCCCCCCCCACACACACACACACACACACTCAGGATATTTTTAGATATGTGTCTTTTCTCAATCAGTCCATCCTGGATTTTAGTAAGGTATTTCTGTCAGCAGACAGTTTTTCTAGTTTCAGGAAAATTTCTTTAGTTATTACCTCTCTTCTTTTTTAAAAATATGTTTTTATTGATTTTTTTTAAAGAGAGGAAGGGACAGAGAGATAGAAACATTGATGTGAGAGAGAAAAATCGATTGGCTGCCTCCTGCACGCCTCCCTACTGGGGATTGTGTCCCCAACCCGGGCATGTGCCCTGACCAGGAATCGAACCAGGACCCCTCAGTCCATGGGAGGATGCTCAATCCACTGAACCACACTGGCTGGGCTCTCCTTTCTTTTTGTTTGTCTCCTTCTGGATCAGTTTTTTTTTTGTCAGTCCTCCGTGTTTCTTATCTTTCTTTTGCGATTTTTACCTAAAGTTTTTTGTACGTGCTTCGAAGTATTTCTTTCATTTGATTTTCCAAGTTTTGACTCCCAAAAGTGGCTATACTTTCCTTCAGTTTCTCTACTAAAGTTTTCAGTTGGGTAATCATATTTTTTGTTTTAGCATTAGAAAGTCTTTTTTTGTGCTGAACTTGAATCTCCTTGAAGTGCTCTTGTTTCTTTTATTCAAGTAGTAGATGGCTTATTTTTGTGGGGTTTTTTTTTTTTTTTTTGTAATCCTCACCTGAGGATATGTTTTTTGTGTTTTTGTTGTTGTTGTTGTTGTTTTTAAGAGAGAGAGAAAAACATCATTTTGAGAGTGAAACGTTCATCAGCTGCCTCCTACACATGCCCTGACCAGGGATTGAACCCGCATCCCGGGTATGTGCTCTGACTGGGAATAGAACCCGTGACCCTTCAGTACACAGGACAACACTCCAGATGGCCTTAGTCTTACAGATGCTGAGAAGCACTCATTTAATTCATGGTCTAGTGTGCTAGACTCTTACTGAGGTACTTAAAAGAAGACTTTCTGTTTCCTAGACTCCTCCTACCTACTCTTCCAGCTTCAGTGGTAGGGAGGACTCAGTTCACCTATGCAGTTACTTTTTGTGCTTTTTGGGGTCAAAGACATTAGGCGCATTCATATAATGCTGATCTCAGTTTTCCTTCTATGGATACCCAGAGCTCTTTGAGCCAAGCTCTTCTCAAAATTCTTTGCTTTCCAGTCCTTATCTCAGAGCTTCCTGAATCTAGTGTTGTAATGAGAAAGTCTGATTCTAATTCCTTTCTCTCAGATACCAGCAAACCTTAAGACTTCACCTATGTTCAGCCAGCTCCCTTAAGCTCCAGAATCCTTTTGTCTGAGGAATGGCAGATAGATGGGAGTGGAGACTATAGAAGAAGAGAGCCATGTTCGGGTCTCCTTGTTCCAAGATTCCATCCTATCCTCTACTCATATTTTGTATCTCTCATTTTTGTCGTAATTGTATTTATGCAAGAGTTCCTTTTACTTGGTCTATGTTATTGTAAGTAAGGTAGGCTTCAGTGGAAGTTTAATGTCTTCTTCAGAATAAATAGCATATTGAAGTTATGAATTCTCTGAGAGACTGGGTTGGAAGGGGGTTTCCTAATGAAGGAAGCTTGGACTTCAAAGTCCCAATTTTACACTTGAGTAACACCTTTGTTTTCACTGCTGATGTACAAGAAAGGGTTAGCCTTAGAGGCCAGCTTTAGTTTTACTTCAGAAATGTATCATTTTGGTGACTTCTTATTTTGTTTCTCTTGACAGGTGGTGTGGGGATGATGTGCTCATTGAGTGAACAAGGGAAGCAGCTAGCTATCCAGGTGTCTAATATCCTGGGGATGGATGTATGTGGCATTGACCTGTTGATGAAAGATGACGGCTCCTTCTGTGTCTGCGAGGCCAATGCAAATGTAGGTTTCATCGCCTTTGATAAGGCTTGTAATCTAGATGTAGCTGGTATCATAGCGGACTATGCCGCCTCCCTTCTGCCCTCTGGCCGGCTCACCCGGCGTATGTCCCTGCTCTCCGTGGTGTCCACGGCCAGTGAGACTAGTGAGCCGGAGCTGGGTCCCCCAGCCAGCACTGCTGTCGACAACATGAGCGCAAGTTCCAGCTCTGTCGACAGCGACCCTGAAAGCACCGAGCGAGAACTGCTCACCAAGCTCCCAGGGGGCCTATTCAACATGAACCAGCTGCTAGCCAATGAAATTGAACTCCTGGTGGAGTGACTCCACTGGTAAATAATTAACCGACAAAACCCTGTAAAACTTTCTTTTTCTTCTTTTTTTTCTTTATTATTTTTTTAAACCAACTTGCAATGCTGTTCATGGAATATGCTCAGGAAGATGAAAATTGGGTAGGATTAATTAGAAGAGGGAGATAGACAAGACCTCCACTGTTAAGATATTACTGACTCATTACAAATTACACTGATAGGCTAGGCAGAAGAGGTGAGATATAGAAAAATGTCAGGTTCTCATAGTTACCCTTTTAATTAATTACTTAAAAATGTGTGCACTCTCAGGCCATAAATAACATACAAAATTTTTTCATGGTTCCTTGCTTTTGTTTTTGTACAGTTGGTATAAATTTCAGAGTGGCATAACTACATTGTGTGGCAAAGATTTATAATGGGTGAGGAAAACATCTATCTAAATTATAGAACTTTTTAATACAAATCTGAAAATTCTGCCTTTACCGTATTGACTAGCAGCTTTATATTCACAGTTTATGAAGTCTTGAGGGGCTCTTATTGAAATTTATTATTTCTGTTTTTAGTTTTTCCCTTAATTTGAGTGGGAGGGCAATGTGAATATGACCTAATAAAGGGTTTTTTTTTGTTTGTTTTTTTTTTTGACAAAATTGGCATGTTTGCATGATAAAAGGGGAATGAACAGTATTGCAATGTCTGGTACACAAAATAACATTTACTCCAATGTAGATAAAATTACACTAGTTTAAAATATGTGCATTGACTTGTGTTTGTTAGTGTTTTAGTCTTTTTTGAAAGATATATGCTCTGTTAATGTTGCATTTTCTAAAACATGCTAGTCTAACATTCCCTGATCTATGCCTGCATCTTTAACAATGGCCAAAGTGAAGAAAATGCTACCTTTTATGTTAATGAGACACTGACTTGAAACATGCATTTAAAGCCTTTTATTTTATTTTTTTCTTTTTTCTTTTGGTGGTTGGGTATTTAAAGAATAAGGACAAGGAAAAATATTTTGGGGGCACAAATCACGGGCCAATAAGTTCTTAAGCATAAGCTGAAGTGATTTCTAATTTCAGCATTATATATTTGCATTTTTCACATTTTAAGGGGGGAGTATATATATGTGTGTGTGTGCACGCATGCATGTGTATGTGTTTTGCTTTTTGTTTACACCAACCAGTCAAAAAGGATAGATTCTAGAAAATGGAGCATGATGGGAAACACATTTTTTTACTTAAAAAACAAAACAAAACAAAAACAGATTAGTTGTTTTCATAACTATACTCCATTGGGGTAGAGGTACTCACCTGAAGACATAAGGAAAATAGATGCTTCTTAGGCCTTTTTGTGTATATGTTTGTTGTTTTTTTTTTTTTTCTTGTTTCTAGACTGTTCAGTGTATGACTTATTCAAGGCTACATGCTTTTCTTCATTGCTTCTGGCTGTGTGTTTTCTCCTATCACACATAGGTTTTGGGGTGGGTAGAATGGGTGTTTTTGTTTGGGGACTTAGCAGTATTGAGTCTCTTACAGCCCTACTCTGAAACCTTTAGTCCTCTCCACCATTTATATTCCTTTACTTTCTGGATTTATAAAAGCCCCAAAACTGCATATAATATGAGCCTTTACAACATGGGTAAAACTATGCCAGTGGTGGTTTTGAAGGTGTGTTAAGAAATGGAGATGCTCCAGAACTCAACGTAATTTTTCATTTTAAACAGCAAGATCCATCTCCCTACAATCCTTTGAAGCTTTTACCCAAGTTCTTTCTTGCCTCTCCAGTGCTTTTTTTCCCTTCAGATGGACCTTAAACTTAATTTCTTGGACACTACTAGAGAGACTTCGAGGGAATAATAAAAGATCAGTATTAACCAGCACTAACAGAGGTGTGATCATGCTTACTTGTACAGTTTTTCCCCGTTTTAAAAAGGAATGTAATAAAATTTGTTTTTTTTTTTCCATAGAATTAAATAATATTAAAATTGAGTGAAAGGTTGATTGTTGACAAATAGAATAGTACTTCTAATCTCTGCAGTGTTTCATTTCACCTGAAAAAAGATACATAAGAGGAGTTTCTAATTTATTTTAGGATATTCTAATGTCATCTAAAAGAATTTGACTTGCACAGGGTTATTGTGGGACTTACATAAGTACCTCTGACTCATTAACAGAAAGAAACAGAAAGAAATACTTGGTACTTCTTTCATCGAATGAACATACTTGAGGATGTATAGAATTTGGGATAGAGAAATAAATGAGGGAGAAAGAACTGCTTAATTAAATCATCATTCATGTGTTTGTGTAGAGCCCATCTGGTTGCCAACTAAATTATGTTACATACACTTTGAATAATTACATATCACCTGTATATCAGTTAATGAATTTAAAAACACAAATAGAATACCCTCTCAAGGTTTGTATTGGGTGGGATAAGGCACTAGGAAAAATGTAGGCAGCCTTTAAAAATTTTTACCAAATTAACCAATTATATTATAAGAATTATCAGATTATTTCACCTTTAGTTTTATTGTATTCACCTTTTGTGCATTCACATTATAGTAAAACATAGCTTTACCAACCTGCATCTAGATCACATACTCACATGTTAGAATGAAAAGGGAAGGAATGGTCTTAGACTTTAAAACCATGAATATTTAAAAAAATTTCTTTGGAACTTAAGGTAAATATGAACAGATCATTCTGGAAGAACCCAAATAGCCCAGATATTTCAGTGAAAGTTAAATATATTTTCATATTGTTTAATAACTTTTGTTTAATCTTTATTGCTATTATGAGGTAAAAATGTATTTATTAAATATGTATAATCATCATGCCAAAATCTGAATTACTGTAAAATTATTGTGCATTGTTAAAATTGTAATTCTGAATTGTATTTTAAAAATAATTCTTTCTGATGTGTTTTTATGTCACACATGATGAAAACTGGACTATATCTACATACACACACATATATATATAAATATGAACTATTCCATTTAAAAATTTTAACAGTTTTTTTGTGTGTACCTAAAATTGATCGGTCATTTCTGCTGCCTTTTACTCCACTGAACTTTAAAACCTTTCTGTATATGCTATCAATAAGAAAATATCCTGGAACATTATAAAAATCCATCAAGAGACTTGCTTTCATCAAGCACTTTGTCAGACTTTTGAGAAGTTATTGAAGGCATGGAAGGAAGTAATTGACTTTCAAAATCATCTCTTCTTTTTCTCAAGAAGAAAATGGAAAAACAAATTCTCTTCATTCAGTGAGTCCCCAGTTTGGGGTCTGGGGAGCCTAGAGACATTGTGAAATCAAATCTTATGTTATTTTCTCCTGGCTCACTCTTTTTGAGAAGGTTAATGGGCTATATGGCTGGTGAGACACGATCCCCTCCTAAGAAAATGTAGGTGCTCAGACAGGTAACCTCTGCTGCTACTGTTTTTATTTGTTTGTTTGTTTGTTTAATTTCATTTAAAATTTGTTTTTGTTGTACTAGGATATTTTAAAATGTAATATATTACAGGATTTATAACCAGGTTTATTGCTTTCTTTCTTTTTATTAAAAAGAAACAAAGTTTCATTTAAGATACATTTAGGCGCCTTTGAAGCTTGGATTTTGGAATGTTTCAGTAGTGGACAGAAATCTGCTGTTGGAATCTTCTAGTCTTCCAGGTTTAATTTGAAGTTTTTAGTTTTGTTTTGAATTTTTGTGTGGTATTTTATTTCCTTTATACCAATGCCCCTTTGCCATGATGTTTTGGGGTGGCTGCCTAACTCTAGTGAAAATTCTTTCTATATTAACGAAAGTTTTGGTGTTTGAAATTCCTTAATGTTTTGCATTTTTAAAATTGTTTTTAAAGAAATATTCTAACTGCTTGTACTGTTACTGTTCTTTGCCAGCCTTTTCAGGAGCCAAAAAAACAAAAAACAAACAAAAAAATACCCAGAGAAAAAACTTTCCTTCTTCCCCCTTCCTGATGATGAGTGAGAAGTATTGAGAACTTTCGGGGTCAGTGCCCTTCTAAACTCCCCTTCCCCCAATAATGCAGCTGTATAATGAATGGTAAATGCAGCGGTTTGGATTCAGTCACAGCCCCAGCCTGCTTGCAGGTAATTTGACTCTTTATCCTTTCTTTCCATCACAAGGCTAACTATTTTCCTTTTTAAAAAAAGTTTTATGTACTTCAAAGGTAATAGCTCTCATTTAAAAATAATGCATAACTATATCTAGCAAATAATTTGATTAAAGAAGATCATATGGGGATCAAGTTTGAATTGGTTGGGATGAACTCAGGACTTTCATTGGGGATGTGCTTAAATCATATAGATAACTCCATTCCTTGCATATATGTCTATAATTAAGTATTTCAGAGTGTGATTTTTTTGGCTTTGTTTTTGTTTTGGGTTTGTTTGTTTCTTCCATTGTGCTACTCTGGCTTAAGCTTTTTCAGGGGTTGGTGTTCCGAGTACACAGTGAGCTCACAGTATAAAGACATCAATTAGGAGTTGACAGGTATGGAAAATTAGAGTTTTGAAAAGGTAAACTTAGGTTCTAGGTTATATATATGGTAAAAACTCACCATAGCATTCAGTTGACTTTAGTGCTTCTCTTTCTGTGACATCATAAAAGTGAAAGGGAATGATGAGACAAAGACAGCAGAAAGCATTTTGGTTATTGTAAGAGCAGTGTGATTTCAGAACTAATTATTTTAGCATTTCAGATACTAGTGCTAACAGAAATAGATAGATGTGAATAGTTTGAGATTATCATAAAATAATGGTTCAAACTTTTTAAAAATTACAGGTTTGAACAGATTGGAGGGCATTTCTGAAGCACAAGATTGTTAAACATATTAATGAAAGTGGTAAAGTTACTGGCAGGAATAGGACTACAGCTTGTCCATTTTAGTAGCCTTCCTGTTTGTTAATATACTGTCCCCTCCTCTATGTACCAATTACCACCGTTTCCTCCTTTTTCCTGTCTTTCCTAAAGTTTTAGCTCTGATATGAGTTATCATTTTGGGTGATCCTCTTTCTAGGAGGTGGAATTTTAGTGATAGTAGTCAGGACCTATTTAAGATATATTGCGTAATTTTATCCTTGGCTTTAGATGCTCTATCCAGAGAGACTCTTAAGTCCAATAAATCACTATGTAGTGAGTAGGAAATCCTGGCTTGTAATGCTATTTCTGTAGCTAAAGGCATAAAATAAATTGTTAACCTGTTTTGTGCTTTATTTTACTCATATAAGATAGGAACAGAAACTTCCCTGAGCATTTTAAGACAAAATTACTTATCTGTTGAACAGAAATTTACTAACAAAAGAATCCCAACTGCATTTCTATAGGAATTTATGATGTATACTAAAAAAGGCTTGTACAGGAGAACTTTGTTCTCTTATCAGTAAGAATGGCCAGCTTTAGAATATGTGGACTATGTGATTGCATGGGACAAGGATAATTTAGCAACCTCCATTCCCTTGTCCCCATGAAGATCATGACTTGATAAGAATGATTTTGCTTTTAGATTTTACCATAATCACTTATTAGGTGGGCCTTATATAGCATATACACCTGGCTGCTGTTGTGGGGTTTGGGAACATGAGGGGTGGGGTGAAT